TATTATTATTGGGCATCTTTTGAAGAGAAACAGAGTTTTCCGTTCGAAAAATATTGATTGATAAGAATTCTGTACCATTTCTACGAAAAGTGTTTTTTCGCACATAAAATACATGGGAAATTTTTGTGCGGTTTGAGCGACCTCTAAATAATTTTTGATTTCAAAAAATAGGGGTATATTTTTTTCCGTATTGAATAATTCTAGGGGGTGGGAGCACAACGATTCCGACTTTACTTTTTCACATGCATTCTTGGAACACCCTAATGCACCTACATATGTGCGGTTATGTGTTTGTGTTGCGGCAATTTATATGCATATCAGATGTTTTTAATTACTAATGCGCATATCTGCAAGCCCATTTGTATATAAGTACAGTAAAAAGTTTAAAATGCTAAGCTCTCACCCTCTGGGATTTTTCTAATTGGAAAAAGAATACCCGTATGTTTTTGTTAAATGTTATGTGCCTCAAAGCACTTCAAGTTTGTTATTTGTCCCCATATCAAATACATGGAAAAATTCATTGGCTTTGAAGCAGTTCCAAATATATATTTTTTTTAAACGAAAAAAAAAAATTGGGCTATTCTTTTTTCATTTAGAAAAATACTAGGGGTGAGAGTTTAACATTTCAACCTTTTTTGACCACCCAAATGTACACTCATACATGTACTAAGTACAGTTGTATTAATGTGAATTCTCTTTAGATATTAAAATTTACAAAATACGGCCAAGCCGAATGATTGCATGCGATCTGACACGGTGCGTTAGATGCGTTTTACATATACATATATATGAATGTAAAATTTACATACGTGCGTACTCACATACGAGTATGTAAGCAGGTTGTTATACTAGGCCAAATTGTGCAACTCCAGTTGATTTGCTGTACGTGTTCATTACAAGTTTGAATTATTTATTGTTTTTTTTTGCCAGTTCATTGACGGAAGTTATTTTTAGATTTTTATGCGAATACAGAAAAAATTGGATTTTAGTAAACGCAAAAAAAGTTGCAATTTAGGAAAGTTTAATATACTTATTGCTGAACTCACTAAAGAGAGATGCCTGGAGGGCGCGAAATCGCGCGTTAAGAAGTCGCATCTATTCTCATATGCATAGGGACGCATAATCAGTTCTCGAACTCTCTCTAATGGTTATTACGGTGTTCGATTATTCGCTTCTTTTCCAAACCCGGATTTCGAGTTGTTCCCGATTTTGAAATTTAAAAAAAAATCGGATAAACCGGTATAAAGTCATGACCAAAAGTGACAATAAAACTACTAACAGTAAAGGTAGCTTTTATTTAGAAATGGGCAAAGCAAAAGAGGTTCAACGTTTTTTTTTAGATCAAAAGTAAAACAAATAAAAATCAGGGAAAAACTCACGTTTGGTTTTATTTTAAAAATTTATTGAATTTCTTCAATGTCGGCAGACAATGGCGAACATCAAGAAGTAGAACACAAACATTCATTTACTCAAAAAACCGATTGGTTTGATAAAAAATCCAAATAACCTCCTCCCGTTTTTGAAGTGGGCTAAAAAGTAATATGAAATCAGTCAGTTGTCCGAGTAAATCTTCAGTTCTATTTGCTAAAAAATTTGAATTGGTTTAAAATGTTTAACCACAAGTTCAAATATATACTTTACTGTTGAAAATAAAACTCTAAACCTTCCACTGTCATTAACTCATAATTTTGATTGATATGAGTTAGCTTTATCAAAGGTCAAACATAAACGCACATACATACTTATCAAAATTAAATGCACACCGTTTTACCGATAGCTTCTTGCCTTCCTCCTTTGTGTTAATCTTTTTTGTTCGCTTACTTCAATGCTAAATATTTGAAGGGTATTTGTTGACACAAAAATGGCTTAGCTGCACGCTGAAAAGCAGCAAGGTTAAAGATAAAAAATTACTGCAGTAGCCAAGAAAGTTGGCAATCATCGTTTAAAAATAAAGTAGAAAATACCGAAGTATGTTAATTTGTTGCTGTATTGCGTAATCTTGATAAGCGAGCTTTTCTGGCTATTTTTGACGCTATGTACTCATATCGAGCCCTAACCGCCAAAATAACGTAAGCGACATTTTTTTCAAAATTTTATTTTTGATGCAGAAATGTATCTAGATGCTCTAGGAATATTTCTGCATCAAAAAGAAAATTTTGAAAAAAATGTCGCTTACGTTATTTTTGCGGTTAGGGCTCGATATTTTGACTACGATAAATTTTGATAAATTCTTGGTAACATTTTAAGTTCTCAAAAAGAAAAAAAGAAAAAATAATTGATAAGTGAGTGAATGGGGTTAGATACGTGACTAACAAAGTTAACAAGGAACAGAAATTACTAAAATAATAGAATTCCAAAGAATTATGAACCTCAAGCATTCATGAGCACCCCAGAGGATAATTTCGATAGGCCTTCTTAAGTGAAGCCATTCTAAGAGGTCTACTCAAGAAGGGATAAAAAAAGAAAGGAGAAGGGAATGTAGAGTGACTCTCAAGAAGGTATTTCGAAAGGGCTTTTAACTCCTGAAATTATCTACTGGGACACGCCACAAATAAACTACTCTTTGCTCCAGTATTAGTATGAGTTATTCTGTGTAAATAATTTTATAAGTGTGTATGTAGTACGAGTTTCGATTGAATTTAATACTCGCACCATCGTCCAATGGAGGGCAATAACTTATTCAAATCGTTTTCTCTCCTTAAAACTCAGCAGATTTTTTCATTTGATTTGTCCTATTGTTTGGTTCCACTTTAGCGTTTTTTTGTTTTCATATTTTCTGCGCTCTGCTTTGATGCCAAGTGGTTTCACCGCAAAAGGAGGATAATGTGCTAAGTACATTAATGTTTTGTAAGTTCAGAAGGCGCAACAGTTGAGCGTAACCGTTAAAAAAGAATCAGTGATTAAGTGATTAGTGAGCAATATGCCTTCCGAACGGCTTGATTCATTAGGTGTCAAATACAACTGTAAAATTTACAAACAACATGTTGTCTCAAATTCTCAGAAAATATTACGATCACCAAACACGAAACTGTTGATCAGAAGTACGAAACGACGCGTTCAGAACAGTGTTGCCGTTTTAGTCCTTTGGTGGCTAAATTTGGCTACCAAATTCTTTTTTTGGCCACAAAAATTTGAAATTGCCCCTAGCCCTTCTTTTAGCCCTTTTCAAAATTTATTCATCATTGACATTAAAATTTTTTATATGATTTTCATGAATTTAACTCTTCGCTCATAAAGCGAACGCCTTTCCTTTAAGGCAAATAAACTGTTCATTGTGTCGCTAGCTTAAGTGGTGGAAAAAGTTTGTTTATCGGTTGCTTCTTTTACCTTTAAGTAACGCAGAAGTTGAAAGGACGTTTTCTATAATAAATTTCGTTAAAAATAAGCACAGAAATAAAATGAATTTTGCAATGTTCAACGCTTTATTAACTGTAAGATATGGCTTAAAAAATGTACAGAAATGTTGTCATGATTTTGATTTTACAGATGATATCGTCAGGTTAATGAGAAATGAACAAAATTGTAACGACGAAGAATCGCTTAGCGATGATAGTATTGATATAGATATAAATATTTAATGTGTTAAAAAATGTTTATAGATTAAATTATTTTACTATGAGTTCATTAAATGAATACTCTTTTGTTTGTTTGATACATACAGCGTCGGACAATAATAAAGCACCGACATTTTAATTCTTTGTAAATTATAACATAACATTTTAAAAATTTCTTTTACAAATGGATATTTTTCGAAGCATAGTTTGAAATTATTTAAGTTATTTAGTATTGTCCGACACTGTATATAGATATGATTCTAGTACTGATGTATTCTTAATGTGATCTCATTTTTTGTTTATGTAAGAAATTAATTTTTAAACTGTACATACATATGTATATGTATGTTTTTTACGTTTCTGGGCCGTTATCTTATCCATTAACTATTTAACTATACTTTAAAATAGGTAAGTTGGCGGCCCTTAATATGCTTTATGTGTTACACAACAAGTTTATTTGTTGAATAAAATATTAATTCTTTCCAGAGTTCATTGTTTTTCTATATCATTACTTATAGAAAATGTTTGCGTGTATACTTATATATTTATATGTAGGTAAAAAAATTTAGCTACCATTTTTAGCCACAACGATGATTTTTAGCTCTTTTTTAGCCCTTTTTTAGCCTGAATTTAGCTACCGCTAAAAATGTTTCGCGGCAACACTGGTTCTGAAGGTGCAATTGCAACAGTAACTGAGCTGCCACGCCTTCTGAACGTGTCTTTCTCATATCTCTGGTGAAAAAAAATTATTGGAAGCTTATGATCTTAGATGGTATGACCTTTTCTTTGCCAAAAACTTCTCTTGGAAAGTTTAAGAGATTACCTTAGCTGCGGTTGACGGACCTATGTATGTTTTGAGTAGAAGTCTATGCAGGGCCTCAACTAGAAGAAGCGCAAACATCTGTTGTTGATTCTTACCCCAGAAGGCTAGGTATCACCCTCAATAACCAATGCACCCTTGTACATTTCATAAGACTGGATATCCTCCTTGAAGAAGGGACCCCCTCGCGTCTGCATAATCCTGGTGACATACACAAGAATTCCATGTCGGCAAGCGGAGCTCCCTAGATTATACTTGGACAAATCATCTCAGTCATTTCTCATTTGCGATGGCAGCCTAATTGAATGAAAATCGTACTGAACGTAGACTTAACAGTGGTCAGAGGCTTTTAAGATTAACGAGAAAAGTTAAAAAGCAAATTTCGAAAAAACTGCGTCCCTTTTTTGTTATTTTCCCGTTTTGTTATTAAAAGTTAGTCTTAATCTCATTTCTACGTATTTTAGGAACTAAGAAAACCCTGGGTCGATTGGGGGTGGGAAATTATAATCTTCTAAAGATTTATTCACTTATTAGCTAGAAATTGGAAGACGCCTTTGTATTTATACTGTAAAATACACCAAAAAAATTAAAAAAGTTAATAATCTTCCTCTCGACTTTATTTTCAGAATACAACAAACCCACAATGTCTGACACTCTGAGCCGAATCAAGCTGCAATTGCGTCCAGTCAACGGCAGTGTACTCAATGGCAATGGTGGGAATGCCAGTGGTGACGACAAGGCACCCTCTTCACCAGCCACAAAATTGCTAATCAATCACGGCAAACCGAACTACACGATCCAACGTTCACCGAAGGCGCAACAAAATGGTGGCACAAATCCGTTAAATAACGAACTGCAGAATAACAATCGCAACAACTACTACCCCTACAAGAGTGCTGGCGTTAAGGGTACAACCGGCATTATTACGAATGGCAACATCAGCAAAGTATATGGCTCTACAAATAACAACAACAACATCAGCAGCAGCAGTAATAGCAGTCAAAATGGTGACGAAATTATCGTACAGAGTACTAAATTCAATGGCGTATTCAAGCCCGCCAACATACAGCAAGTGGAAAACAAAGATGAGGTCGACAATCAAGTTGTGTTGAGACATGTACCCAAGCCCGAAGCTGTGGTAGCGCCACAAAACGGCAACGAAGGAAATGTGCCTGAGTTTATACTACGTCAGCGTCGAATTCAAGAGCGTTTGGCTAAGGAGAACGTTTTGGACTTTGAAAATCGGCGCAGCGGTTACTTTACGCACGTTGTCATCTCGCCAACATCACCGAACCGTACTTCCTTGGTTGAGACGATGTCAAGTCCACCAATTGTGCCATCTTTGGAAATTCCACCGCCAGCTAAAGAGGTGAGAGAAGCGTCTATTGTTGAAGAAAGCAGTGTTGAAGTGAGCGCGGCCAATGGTGAGTTAGAAACGCCTGAGCAGGCTGCAGCGGTGGAAACTAGGAGACATGTTGAGGAGGAGGAAGTGGCTAAAGCGATTGAAGAGGTTAACAAAGCCGTCGCTGGTGAAGTAGATGATGAGAAAGTGGATGCGGCAGATGATGAAGCGTCGATTGAGAGCGAGAAAGTAGCGGAAGTCGCAAGGGACGAACAATTAGAAGAGCATACGATTGCCGCAGAAAAGAAGCAAGAGCACAAAGCAGACGAAACTAAAGTCGAAGAAGCACACACACCTGTTGTTTCGGTGGTCGTCACAAGTGCTCCCTTAGCGGAAGCAGAAGTGGCACACGTAGTAGAAAAAGAGACAGCAGCCGCTGAGCAAATAACTGAGCCTACAGCTGAGCATGTGTCGAAACCAGAGGCAGCGATCGCACAAGTGGAAGTGTCGGAAACGGCGGCCGAGCCACCAAAGCCAGTCGAGCGCCAGCAGCCTGCGGCTGACGAACAAGCCAAGCATAACGGACATGACGCCGCTGAAGAGGTGCCTACAACTAACGGAGATACCGATGAAACAGTAACCATTTACCATACGAATGGTGTGGTGGATAATGGTATATCCAATGGACATGCGGCACCCAGTCTGCCCACACCCGATCCCAGTGGTGCTCTGGGTGTTAACTACGAACCAAAGACGGTAGTTTCCTTCTCGAAGGATTTAGGAGAGCCAAATAAATATCCCGATACTGTGAAGGTGGTGAAGACGGCAGAGGATAAGGCGGTGGATGCGGCGAGCGATGAACTAAAAGAGTTAGCCAAGCTGAAATTCGATATTAAAGCTGATGATAAAGATGTGCAGGTGACGCCAGTTTTGCGGACAGAGTAGGGCAGTGAATATGGATATGCTACAAAGAAGGGGTTTAAAAATTAGACAAAGGAGACCCATACTACGTAGCGGGAATGGGGATTGGCAAATGAAGAATGTGTACTAAGTGGGAGCAAAGTAGACAGAAGGGATATTTTAATAGCTTATACTACGAGTAATACAGTGCATTAAGAGCGCCGAAAAGTAAGCAAACAGTCTGCAGCGATCCAAGAGGGTACTTTGACGGTATTAGCAAATTTTTTCCAAGCGTGGGATTAGTGCATTATAGCCATAAGTGACGACAGTTTATTGAAGCGCACTGCTCGTTATTAAATATATATTGTAATTATTATTTGTCTGCACTCGTGTGTATGCAAACTATATTGTTTAAATTGTAAAATTATGTAATTTTGTTTTGTTTATATTTTAAGTCAAAAAGTTGCCAAATTCACTTATTCATTATTGTACAATAAAATAATTTATAAAAAGTTCGTTAGTCGTTTTAGCAAGCAGCGTAGGGACGAGTGAAAATGGGACATTATATTTTTTTTGTTGCTAAAACGTTTTGGCGTTGCAAATTTTAGCACTAAAGCATCCTAAAGCACCACTATCTAAATTTAAAGCTTAAGTTGCATGTAAACGAAAGTAATTTTAAAATGGAACACATATTAATGCAAAGAAAAACAATTGATGGCAATGTTGGCTAAATTTTGTTTAAGGAACAAATGGAAATGAAACAGGATCGCTTAGTAATGAAAATACCTTTTTAGCGGTAATAATTGATTCTAGTATGCAATATTTTAATTTTTTGCGCGTTCATTTAAATTATCTTAAGGAACAGAGTAGAATTGGAGCAAGCAAGCAAAAAATGAAAACAATTGAGTTAAGTATTCGAATTTTGATTGAAAATACAGAGCCTGAAGTTTCCTTGTGCTCTCAAATTATGGAAATTCAAAAAGAAACGAAATGGAAATGAGACAGAAAAACAAAAATTTAGTTTGTATTATAATAGTCAGATGAGAGCAAGTATTTAGCTTGAAAAGGCTATTAGTGGAAAACCATTATGGGTGAAAAATTTGTTTGAGGAACAAATGAAAATAAAACAAAAATTAAAATAAACGGTATTTCTTGGCTGAACAAAAGTTGATAGAGTTATTTGGCCGTTCATTAAACTATCTACGTAAGTTTGTGTTACCTTTGGAACCGAATGGAACTGGAACAAGTGCAACTAAAATTGCAACATTTAGGTTCATTTTTATATTTTTGTTTGAAGGAGCACATCTTTAAATCCCTTCAAGCTCTTAAGTGATGGACATTCAGGATGAAACGAATGGAAATGGAACATAATGGAGTTTCATTTATAATAGTCAATTGAAAGACGACAGGCACTGAGCTCGCAAAGGCTTTTAGTGGAAAAATGTATGGGCTAAGAAATTTGTTAAGGAACAAATGGCAACGAAACAGGGATGCTTAGGAATGAAACAAAATTTAAATAAATGGTTTTTTCGCGTGAGTAATTGCTACCAGAATACAAATCATAATTTTTTTGTGGAGTTATATAAAATAATACCTTGAAGAAACGCATGGAATTGGAACAACCATGCCTGAAGGTTGCTTAGGAATAAAACGAAACAGAAATAAATGTTGTTTTTTGTGACAATAATTGCTGCCAGAATACAAATCATAAAAATTTGGGAATTATTTCAAATGATTCCTTTAAGAACCGACTAGAATCCGAAGAAGCATGCCTTATTCAGTTGAAACAGTTGAGAGACCACATTCGATCTTGATTAAAATGCAGATTGCGTAGGCTTTCAAGTTCTCAAGTTTTATTAGTTCAAAAAGAAACAATTGGGAACAGAATAGAGAAAAAAGTCGTATACGAGACGGCAAATACATAGTTTGAAATGACTTTAAGTGGAAAAAAGAGCCAAGACGTTGGGAAATGGAACAATAATTATTAGCAAAATCGTTTCAACGTATTAAAACATTGGTGTTCCGAATAAAAAACTCTTTTAAGATAATATATATATGTGTGCATTAAAATCTTCTGTTATTTAAATATATTGTTTCAACTCCATTACTTAAAATGGAATTCAATAAACAAACTGAAACGATTGTAATGAAACCGATTTTCTGCAATGTACTGCATTAAGTGACTTAAATGAGTGAAATTGGAAGACAAGTAAAATAATAATCTACTTGCTGAAATTTAGAAGCGTCAATTTGGACTTCTGAAACAATTGAAAATGGAACGCAAATTTTGAAAAAAAAACAAAACATGCAACATTTTGGTGCTTGGTTGCTGAGATAATATTTAATTAAGAGAAGAAATATGCAAACGCAACGAATGGAAATGAAACAGTGGAACGATTGGAAATGAAACCTAAATTATGAAGAACAGGACGTATTAGTATTTGTTTTTGTTACTGAATCATTATATTATTGAAAACATAAAATAAGCAAATGGCGCGGCACGATTGAAAATGAAACACTACTTTCCAGTAGGTGTGGAAATTAATTAAACTTTGTTTTAATATGCAAAGAGGAACCAACAAGAGGTGAAAAAATGTTGGGAAATGAACGATGTATCAAACAGAACAGTAATTATGGAAAAATGCACATAATATGCAGACTTTCCGTTCTAAAGAATTTATGCTATAAATTTATAAATTTTAGATGGAAACGAATGAAAATGAAACAACTAAATTAATTAATTAAATGAAATACCTATGCAATTGCCCAAAGCAATATTTTTTGTACCAATTTCATTACGTTCCTACGCTTTTATTTATGCACATAATTACTATTATTTCCAAAAAATTATGTACTAACGGGTGATTTTTTTGAGGTTAGGATTTTCATGCATTAGTATTTGACAGATCACGTGGGATTTCAGACATGGTGTCAAAGAGAAAGATGCTCAGTATGCTTTGACATTTCATCATGAATTGACTTACTAACGAGCAACGCTTGCAAATCATTGAATTTTATTACCAAAATCAGTGTTCGGTTCGAAATGTGTTTCGCGCTTTACGTCCGATTTATGGTCTACATAATCGACCAAGTGAGCAAACAATTAATGCGATTGTGACCAAGTTTCGCACTCAGTTTACTTTATTGGACATTGAACCAACCACACGAATGCGTACAGTGCGTACAGAAGAGAATATTGCGTCTGTTTCTGAGAGTGTTGCTGAAGACCGTGAAATGTCGATTCGTCGCCGTTCGCAGCAATTGGGTTTGTGTTATTCGACCACATGGAAGATTTTACGCAAAGATCTTGGTGTAAAACCGTATAAAATACAGCTCGTGCAAGAACTGAAGCCGAACGATCTGCCACAACGTCGAATTTTCAGTGAATGGGCCCTAGAAAAGTTGGCAGAAAATCCGCTTTTTTATCGACAAATTTTGTTCAGCGATGAGGCTCATTTCTGGTTGAATGGCTTCGTAAATAAGCAAAATTGCCGCATTTGGAGTGAAGAGCAACCAGAAGCCGTTCAAGAACTGCCCATGCATCCCGAAAAATGCACTGTTTGGTGTGGTTTGTACGCTGGTGGAATCATTGGACCGTATTTTTTCAAAGATGCTGTTGGACGCAACGTTACGGTGAATGGCGATCGCTATCGTTCGATGCTAACAAACTTTTTGTTGCCAAAAATGGAAGAACTGAACTTGGTTGACATGTGGTTTCAACAAGATGGCGCTACATGCCACACAGCTCGCGATTCTATGGCCATTTTGAGGGAAAACTTCGGAGAACAATTCATCTCAAGAAATGGACCGGTAAGTTGGCCACCAAGATCATGCGATTTGACGCCTTTAGACTATTTTTTGTGGGGCTACGTCAAGTCTAAAGTCTACAGAAATAAGCCAGCAACTATTCCAGCTTTGGAAGACAACATTTCCGAAGAAATTCGGGCTATTCCGGCCGAAATGCTCGAAAAAGTTGCCCAAAATTGGACTTTCCGAATGGACCACCTAAGACGCAGCCGCGGTCAACATTTAAATGAAATTATCTTCAAAAAGTAAATGTCATGGACCAATCTAACGTTTCAAATAAAGAACCGATGAGATTTTGCAAATTTTATGCGTTTTTTTTAAAAAAAAAGTTATCAAGCTCTTAAAAAATCACCCGTTATATAATTTCAATATACACTTAAGTATTTACATAGTTACATACATACATATTATTTTAGTTTAGTTCAGCAATTCGAGTATGCTGAATTGATATTAAACTTATAAATCTGTAACAACGCTGTTTTTTGACTATAAATTTTTGGCAACAGTTTTCAAATTTCCTATTTAGTCTTAAGCTTTTTGGCTATTTATTATAAATTATTACTAAATTACTTAATCGCAAAAGCTTTATACGCGCACTAACGCACATCTTTAGTAAGAAAATAAAGCACTACTTTCACATGCAACTCTTACAAAACTCTTTTGAAAGAAGTGAAAAAAAGTGAAGCAAATTAGTTAATAGTTATCTACTAAAAATGTATGAAATTCCTGCATATCCAAGCAACAATACTTTACTCTCTAATATGTAAATGCACTATTGTATTATATTTTATTGTAAAAGATTTGTTGTATATTATAAATATGTATGAACGAGTATATAATAAAGTAAACAATATCGCAAAAGACAGCCAAACAAATGCAAATATTTTTTTTTTTGGTGTGCAAAATTTACTTTCAATTGCTTAGGTGAAAAAGTAAAAGGAGTGGCCTAAAAACAAATCTTCATGAATTCACGCATTGCCACATTCGAATGACATTTTCGCTTGGTTGATAATGAAATTTGTGAAGACAAAGAAACAGTTTCAATAGTTAACTGGATTTCAGCGAAACGATAAAGATGTACAGACAAAGCGCTGAACGTTACATATCTATGCTCAAACATACATATTTACTAATGAGGTTGCCTACATATACATAAGTAAATGTATATGCATAACTAATTCCAAAGAAAAATTTTGGAAGGGATGTTTTAAAGGAAAAATATTTATTATACCCAAAATCTGTTTTAATGGAAGTCAATAAAATTCAAACGATAACGGTTCAGCTGAGTGGAGTTTGAACTTATGGATTTGTTTTCTGTTGTCTGCCAAGTCTTTGCAAGCATTTCGAAATAAAGTAAATTATATTTGCATAATACCTTTGCGAGATCTCATCTACTACCTTAAATAAGGCGTAAAAAAACTTGCATAATATGACTATCGTCGAGCTAAAGTTTGTGCAGAAGTTCACGAAAACCGGAACCTTCCAGTTTCCTTGAAAACAGCTCTCGCAACGATTCTTGAAGGCCTCGTTAAGTACATGGGCCACATCGTCTCTGAAAGGACTCCAAAAAGATCTTTCTCTACGTACATCGAACCCTCGCCGTCAAAAAGGCGTAAGCGACATTTTTTTTAAATATTTTCTTTTTGATGCAGAAATGTCCATAGAGCAGCTAGATGCACCTATGTACATCCTTTTGTCGGTTAGGGCTCGATTTATTCGCTATAGAGATGAGGGTGGTAGTGAACTTTTTAGCGGATGGGTCCCAATGAAAGGATTAACTTCGGATCTTTTGATAGGAGCTCTTTATAAATAGGCTTCAAGATTGCTGCAATTTTTCGAGAAGAACTGGCTGTCCTTGAAGAAAGTGTCGCCATTAGCTCAATAGATGAGGTCAGCATCTACCTTGATAGCCAAGCGGCAATTAAGACCCTGAGCTAAATGATGCTGCGCTAAAAACAGACGAGTTGGTGAAAAACGATACACTTAAAATTATATCACTAGACAGGGAGCGTATGGTAGCGCAATTGACAACCTGCCGTTCCTGAAGGGGGACAGATGGGCGCCAACTAGGAGATGAGCAATCGCAAGTTTCTTCTGTAATAGTGAGTATCAGGGACGGTCCAAGGGTTTTCTTAGGCTTACACAACCTCGCTATAGATTTTGGTGGGGTTTCTGACGAGTAAAGATTCGATCGGAGTTCATGTTGTGAGACCAAAACCTCATCTGGCCCTTACTGGGTCGCTTTGGGTTGGTGTCATAAACGATTTGTTGGTGGCTCTAGAACGAAGCGGCTGCCCTAAGCTGCCGATGTAGCTATAATAATAAAATAAAAGGAGGGGTCTCTCACCGAAGGTGGGTCATTGACTTGTGAAACCGTAATTAAACCGATTATACTATATGGAGTGCTCATCTGATGGAACGAACTAGACAAGGCCTTCCACGTCAAGCAGCTAGAAAGAGTGCAAAGAGCTGCGTTAATTGGAATCAGTGGGGCGCCTCGAACCACTCCTACTCTGGCACTGCACGCCAATTTTAGGTCCGAATGGATCTTCCATCACCCACATTGCAACGAGAGTGGACTACGAGGTGTGCAGTATCTAGAATTGGGTCCGGTTAACTTATGTACGGTTCAACAGGAGCTGAATGGAAAAGTTTCTTGAGGTTTTTTCTGTGAAGAACTCCCCATTAGCATAAAATGTAGGCTACTAGAGCAATGCAGCACTTTCCAGGCAGAGATAGCTGCAAAAAAAGGCTTGCCAAGGTTGGTTGCTCTTTAGTGTGACACTTTTTAAGGTGGTGAATATCTATTCCATCAGGGCTCTTGGCTACTTGATGATTTGTTCGAGAACGGTGAAGGATTGTTTGACTTCCTTATCGACCACATCGGATTACTACGCTGAAAACTGCATTACCGATGAGCTGTCAAGACAGGGAAGCTTGAGGAACTCGTGAATAGAGTAAGTCTGGGTGCTCCCCTGACCTTACTTTTGGGCAAATGGGCATTGACTCCGCTCAGCGGGCGTTGGGTGAATGCCTGGAATGCCGGAAGCTGTTGGCACTTAGCAAGTTAAAGCTCTCAACACTGGATGGAGTTCTAACTGGTCATTGCGTGATAGGTAAGCCAGCGGTACGGCTGAATATGTAATAATCTTGGATTCCACACTCCCGATGAGCTTTCGGGAATGGATATCAGCCGCTTTATGAGATTCGTTCTTCCGCTCTTTCTATGGCTTTACCCTCCTCTCTTAAGCACATCGCAATGGACAGTTTAATCCGTGTATTAGTGCGCCTTCACCTACCTAACCTAAGCTAACCTGCTGTGGCACCCAAACATGTGAAGCCGCTTTTAGATGGCTTCAAAGCCACTATATCCAATATAACCAATTGGGAAATGAACGACCAAAACCCCGTAAGATAGCCAGATCTTGTACACAGATAGATCCAAAACTGGCCTGGGTGCCGGAGCATTGGGTCTATGGTACACGACCAAGA